GTACCAAGCCGCTTCACAACAAGGCATGCATTGATTAGTTAAAATTCTAGCTTTCGATTGTGGTGGGATAGTATGAAATGTAAAATGACTATTTTATGCACCTATTAGCAAACCGCTGACTTGCTTTTTGCTTATATTACTTAGGAAGTATAAACTACAGAAAACGCCCTTTTGTTGAGAACCAGGTTTTTCTCCTTATATGGTCGAGCCCTTTATTGTGAGATAGATGACAATTTGATAGATATTTCAAACACTTACCTGTACAATGAAAAAGGGAAATGGTACGATCGATTTGATGTTTGGTTAAGTTAAGTAAGTTGCATTCCAAGATGATATGATAAAATAAAGAAGATCTTCGGACAATCGAGCTGTACTCGTGAATTTTCGAACAGGTATCACTTGTTCGCCATCAGACTAAATGAAAAGTGCGGGCTGGGAATGTCGCACTAGAGGTTTTGGGGGCAGAGGCTACAACGAACTGGGATGGGGTTGGGGGGAGGGTTACGGTGACATGAATTCTGCTGCAAAGTTTGTGCAGGTAAGGGGGGAGAGGTGGTAATGTTTGAATTGTGGGCCACGTGTTCCGGGCTGGGGAGGGGGGGGAGGTTGCAAAACCAGTGGAGTTCTACTTGAACGAGCACGGAGAGCCTGCTGTTGTTTCAGGCTGCGCGCAGGTTAGAAGACCATGCGCGGAAACCGGCAGAGTGTGAATCAATGTCTACGTGTCTGTTAATACTGGCCGGGCTTGAGTGACGTTTGCTTAAATGGGAACAAAATTTGAACAATGCATTTGTAATATGCAAATGAAATGAGCCCAGCTATGCGGAATCAAATAGTCAGGAAGGAGTTTGAGAATCGTCCTTGCTTGGCTGCATAGCAAGACTAAGTCCTTATGAGACTCAAAGCAACGAACCCGGCATATAGGTGTTCTTGCTAAACCAATTCCCAAAATACCTGTACCGGTTAGCTGAAACTCTACCTTTCACTTGCAGAAGGATACGCCAAAAGTTAGCAGGTTTAGTTGCGTGCACTTTTTAGTAAACTGCAGTCTTATATTTTAACTTATTTTACGAAGTGTTTACTACTTAAAATGTTTTATACGGAGGAACCAGGATGTTTTACCTATATGACCTAGTCCTGTCTTGTGACAATGATAGATATATAATGACAATTAACTGATGACACGTAGGCCTGCGCCTATGGCCACAAATCGACGTACTGGCGTACTTTAATGAGCCGCGTGAATGAGCAAGTTAACAGGAATGTCTGCCGTAAAGCTGGTGACTTTCGCTAAACTTTACGCAGGATGCACGTTCGCGTGGCCTTACTTAAAAGGCAATCCCAATCCGAACGTCAACTGTAGCCTCAATCATCACTCTGACACGATTATTGCCCAAACCTTGAGTTAATCCTAATCTTATTAAGAGCCGTAGCCTTAATCCCAAACTTCCTGTTTGCCGATATCAGGCGAACGTTTACCCATATAATATATGTTGATCATTCCCCTGTTCTGTCAGGGACAATATAAATAATTACTGTTGAATAAGTATTTGCTGAATAAGATCTTTTGGATATTATGTGGTTAAAAGTATAGTACAAAGTGAACGCTCTTTGTTGCGATATGTAAAGAGAATGTAGATTGCGAATGCTGGTCTTGCGAAGATCGTGTAAACTAATATAACACCACGTATATGGAAGAGGAAGGTGCGATCACTGGAACAAGAGTTTTATTTGCCTGACGTTTCAGATTCCCTCGGGAATCCTTAATCATAGGTGTTGATAACATGGTCATGGTCATGCGCAGATGGGGTGGAGACATGCACAGACTGCACGGTA